CCCCCCCCCCCCCCAACCAACAAAATTTTAAAAAGCATCCTACACATACTGCGAACTAATATTTCTTTACTTTGCATTTTCTAAAAATAGCTTACTCTTTGTGTCGTAAAAAACATTAAACTGCAATAGTCCATTGTTTGATCCTTAATGTTTGTTTGTTCTCTTCCTACTGCAGATTATGGCAGGCTAAGTAAAACCCATGTCATTTTGGTGCTGATGTATTACATCAGATGGTGCTTAAGTGCAATGTCAGATGGTGCTGATGTGCTATGTCAAATGGTGCTGAGGAATTGTCAGTTGGTGCTGATGTTTTATGTCAAATGGTGCTGAATTTTTATGTCAGTTGGTGCTAATGGGCTATGTAAGTTCGTGCTGAGTCATGACAACATAAAGTGATGCCGGTCTTTTTACGTAAGATGGTTGTGATCTGCTATTTAAGCTGGTGCTGAGTTGTTAGATTGTACTGGTTGGTCGTCTAGTCACAAGTTCTATCGACAAGGTGATCGATACAGAACAGTAAAAACATTTCCCGAAACCATTTTTTAAATTAAATTTTAGATGTTGCTTAAGTTGAAAATATTAATTAGTTGATACCATTCTGATTATATTATTGTTAAAACACATAATTGTAGAAATAATGAAATTTTAACATAACGTATGTTTGTTTGTTTGTATGTTTGTTTGTTTGTAAGTTAATAATTCTTCATGAACACATTCATGTTATGTTTTTAATCCTCGATTTTAAAAAAAACCAAGGCATTTTTCCCAGTTGACATTTGATTTTAAGATAGTTTTGTTTAAAGTTCCCGTCTAATTTTAAAGTTACGTAAGATAACGTGTAGTAATTGTCGCAAATTGCGTGCTCAACAAAATGTAATTAAAAAAAAAAAAACTATGATTGTAAATTCATTACAAAGCGGACTCTATCTATGCGTGATTTTGATCAATATTTATCTTTATGTGATTTGTACTGTTTTTTTTTGTTATTTGTGTGTGTGTGTGTGAATTCTGAAGTTTTTTTTTTTATTAAGAGATATAATTGTTTGGTTTCGTTTAGTTTCGGAGCTAAAAAATAACGCAAAGAAACAAATAAAAATATTGAATTGCCACACCATTGCGTTCAGGTGTTGAGCCCTCTGCTGGCGTTCTTCGTCTCATTTTCCCTTAAAATCACCACCTCTCCATTTTCCCTTAAAATCACCACCTCTCCATTTCCCCTTAAAATCAACACCTCTCCATTTTCCCTTAAAATCACCAACGCTCCATTTTCCCTTAAAATCACCACCTCTCCATTTTCCCTTAAAATCACCACCTCTCCATTTTCCATTAAAATCACCACCTCTCCATTTTCCCTTAAAATCACCACCTCTCCATTTTCCCTTAAAATCACCACCTCTCCATTTTCCCTTCACCTCTCCATTTTCCCTTAAAATCACCACCTCTCCATTTTCCATTAAAATCACCACCTCTCCATTTTCCCTTAAAATCACCACCTCTCCATTTTCCCTTAAAATCACCACCTCTCCATTTTCCCTTAAAATCACCACCTCTCCATTTTCCCTTAAAATAACCACCTCTCCATTTTTCCCTTAAAATCACCACCTCTCCATTTTCCCTTAAAATCACCACCTCTCCATTTTCCCTTAAAATAACCACCTCTCCATTTTCCCTTAAAATCACCACCTCTCCATTTTCCCTTAAAATCACCACCTCTCCATTTTCCATTAAAATAACCACCTCTCCATTTTCCCTTAAAATCACCACCTCTCCATTTTCCCTTAAAGTCACCACCGCTCCATTTTCCCTTAAAATCACCACCTCTCCATTTTCCCTTAAAATCACCACCTCTCCATTTTCCCTTAAAATCACCACCGCTCCATTTTCCATTAAAATCACCACCGTTCCATTTCCATCCGCCATCAAAAGTTTATGTTTTAAATTTTACTTGTTTTGAACCCCTTTATGTAACTTGGTGTAGGCGATTTAATCATAATTCGAACATTTTAGAAACTTCATGCCATCACAGAGAAGATTCTTATTATGCAACAACGTTTTAAATATTGGAATCCATCTCATAGGGGCTCTCAAAATGTTTATATTTTAAATAATTTAATAAAATGTATCGTGAAGAATTTCAAAAAAATTTTTTTTTTTAATTTTAAGAAATATTACCGCCTTCCCGTTTTACGCCCCCCCCCCCTTTTTGAAAAAGATTATAAAATTTAATAAAAGTTATGATACAGAGCATAGTGTAAAAGATATGTGATACAGTGCATAGTATAAACCAGGGGTCTCAAACTAAAACAATTTTCTGTGGGCCGCATGGGGTAGTGTCTGAGTGATGCCGGGCCGCAGCAACGCGATGACAAATTCAATAAAGCACATCTGTTTCTATCTGCTCAACCTTTATTCATAGCGAATAAAAACATCAAGGATTCTGGTTCTGATTCTGGTAGGGTACGTTGCTGCATCCATGTACTGGTATATGTGCAACGCCTTGGGGAGCTATGCTTGTATCCTAACTGCTCCTAGCGGGTGCCGGGGCAGCCTTGAAACTCTCTATTGATGTCGGAGTCCACGGCGGCATTGTTCAGGTGGTTCCAAACAATTATTGTTCGCGGGAAGAATGCTTGTTTCTATTGAACTGTGTTACAACAAGGTGCAGTGAAGCATTTACGTTTGTTATTTACGATTCTCAAGAACTGGGCCGCCTCATTGCGTATCATTGTTGACGGCATAATATCCTTAGTAAGAAAATACAATTCACGTTGGTGTAAAGTAAAAATATTCAGCTAATGAATGCTATGAAAACAATGAACTTCTGGTAAGGGGAAAAAGAATGAAATAAAAATATTTTGATTCCAACTGGCGATTATAAAACTAAAATTTGTTCTAACAGAAGGCAGGAGCAGGCATTATATATGAATTATTAATGCGAAGGAAGATGCTAGTGTAGGGAGAATGAATTTGAATTTTTTTTTTTTAAATTGTAGGAAAGTTCTTTTTGACTAATCCTATTTTGAAAGAGAGCACGCTGACATGCTCGGAATTCCCCTCACACGTCATTCGCACAAACTAGCGTATATTTTAATAGGGATTCCTTGATGCTGTGTCAGAGTGCTACAATTTACACAACTGTGGTTGTCATTACCCACTAACTGACTTTTTGAACTTTTGATAGATCTTTATATAATATTCGAAGCGTGCTTTCTCAAAACCGCACTTTGACCGCCATGTTTGTCGCATAAAATGCTATAGAATAAAAACTTTTAGTCCGATTTTAAAACGGTTTTCATCATTATAAACAACGTCCAAACCTGTTCAAAGATATATGAAAAAAAAAAATCAGAATTTGACTAGTCAGTGAGATTCCACGAAACCCTGGCGGAGGGTCACATTATAGATTTGAAAAGGCTGAAAACGCGCGGGCCGCATTAACAGTAAACTTTGCTGTCAGGTAGCGGGCCACAAGATA